GTGAAGGGGGGGGGGGGTGGGGGGGGGGGGGGGCAGTGTTGAATAGCTTGATACAGTGAGGAGGAGATGTGTGAGGGGAGTATCTAGGGATTTAGTTGACCACCCCCCCAGATGCCTCAGATCTTGTCTTTAGTTCTTTTTAAGTGGCCTCTCCAAGACACCTCAGAGGTCTGCTCGCTACTCGCAGGGCAGGTCCAGTCAAGCAGGGAAAGGAAGAAAGTTTGAGATAAAAGAAATCTGGTTGGTAACGCAGAGTGAATGAGCTGCACACCACAACCAGTCACACCAGTGAAGAGAAAACTACCTCTAACAAACCCCAACATGTCAGGCTTCATTTGCACGTTCAGTTCAGCACGTTCACCTCTTCAGTTTTCTTTGTACATTTCTTTCTCTTTCGCTCTTTCTCTAACCACCAATGTAGACTGTGCACATTTAATGGAAATGTATAGCCTAGTAGGTGTATATATAAGTGTTATATATGTACGTGATTGAGAGGCGTTCACTTAATTATTGCATGGGCGATTGGTCCTGCTGTAAGAAACTAGTTGCAGATGAGCTCTGAACCGGTTCTGTAAAAGCTGCTGTGACTTCGTTGTAAAGACACCATCCTGTCCTGAATCTAGAAAATAATGGTTACAACTATAATGTCTGTCTGTTCACACATCCCCCAACTCCTGCTTCACTCAAGTCTTTCGTCTCTAAGGGATATAAGACGTTTATATACTTTTATTTGTATTTCTTTTTATTATCTTCTTCTTGTTTCTCATTTTAACTTGACATACCAACGTCTTACATTTTAGGATGTATGGGTTTACTCATGTCTATACATAAACTTGTGAGAATGACACAGTGGTTTAACTGCACTGTCACCTCAAGATGAGATGGTTTCATTCAGCGGTTCCTGTGGTTGCAAAAGAAGCACTTCTTAGAAAATATATTTATGAAAATCCTGTAAAACTGCGGCCTATGTTCATAAGATTCTAAGAGCCTATAAAATAATAGCTCTACAGTCTAAAACACCCTCCCCCCAGAACACAACAAAAGTTTGTTTTATTGCTTAATTGTCATTTTTTAAAAGATAAGAAACATGATGAATGAACCTCAAACATCATGGGAACAAATCTCAGTCACAAGTTACTGATTGATAACGTCATAACACTGGAATCTAAATACCGCCCCTCCTGTTGAGCAGCACAATCGTCTCCCACAAACAAGTCTGATGGCTTTTTGATTTTCTTCCTAATGGCCCTGCCTTTGACACCCACCTTCACAGACCCTCCACCCACTCAGGTTTTCATCCGAGGGCCAATGGCTGCCTTCCTTCCACTGTGCACCGGCACAAAGGGCTTTAATGGCCCTTGGCATGTGGCTCAATGGGGACAGGAGACTGACTTATCCCCTCCCCTACACACTCAGACATGTAACTACATATACAACACCCATCTAGGGGTACATGCAAGCGTTTTCTCTCCCCCTACCTCCAACACTCATCCACCCACCCACACCCTTTCCCAGTGTAGTCATTTGTACCTTCTGGTTAGATAGTCACCAAAAACCACACAGAAAGTCAGCAACACGTTGCAGCAGAGGCAGCACCACATGTCACTGCAAGATGAAGGGAGTGACTGTGTTTGCAAAGTTCATTATAGTGGAAATGTTTAAAGAACTGCAGTTTGTCTTTTTGATGCAACAAAACTAAATGTATATTTAACACAATTACTGGTTCCTCCATATTGTCTGCTTTGCTATAAGCGTTAGGTGGGTTTGAACAATGTTCTTTCTTTCTCCCCTGTTCTTTGTTATTTTATTGTAATTTTTAATCAGATTGTACAAAACAGCTGTATTATATTGTTATGGGGGAACCATTACTTAAATGTCCCTGGTTTGAATCTGGCGAGGGAGCTTCACTACACTTCTTGTCATTTCTCCAGTATCAATAACTAATAAAGGCAATAAATATCACAAAACAAAAAATCTATTGGATGCATACCATGAAAACCACACAAAGAAAAGGCAAAACAAAGTCATTTTCACATGTGGTAAAAAGTTTTAATTCCTTGGTCTGCATGTACAAATATGTATAAAAGGTGAACACTTTCACACTTTGTATGTACATTTTGCAGCACGAGGTTAACTTGGGAATGACAAGAGGACAGAGAGGAAAGAGGGACGATACGAGATAATGATATTTACCACCTACACATCCATCAGTATAGTTTGTCTCCAAAATTTCATTCAAGTGCTTAGAAGTCACTTTTACTGTACATTCCTCCTCCATCAACAGGATGCATACATACAGGAGGCAGAGTAACTCATCAAAGCATTGCCATGATTCAAACACAGTACAGTAAACCATGCAAACAGACATCAGAGTACTTCATTTCCAGATATATATTTATATTCTATAATCTTAAAATCTGTATGTGCAGCTTATATGACGAGACATAAAATTAGCAACACCACTGGTAACATTTTCAATGCTAAACCCTGTGCTGTGTTAGGGAGTTATTTTTACAGAGGTATCACAGAGATCGGATTTTAAATATTTCCTGGGTATCCGTTGGGAATGCGGTTTAGCCACTAGCTAGGCATGACAAAATGCAAGGGAGGGCACCTGTTTTTCAACTTATGTATGTGTGTGTGTGTGTGTGTATTGTGCACATGTCTGACATTGTATCACATTCTTTGGAAACAGCTGCAGAAATTAAGGAAAATAACAAAAGTAAGTGAGGAGAAAATGAGCTTAACTTAGACTTTAACATTTAAACAGGACAGAAACACCTATAGGGACAAATGTAGGAGGACTCTGAAAACCATATTTGAAAAGACAGGAGTGCTCCAAAACAGTGAGAGGAATAAATTAAAAAGGAACCCAACACATATTTGTAGTATTAAAAGCAGAGCTGGGGTAGATGTAGAAAGGGCCTACAAGAAAAAATCAATTTTATCACCACATCCTCTGCTGGGACCTTACATAGAAATGGCTTCTATGCCTGCGCGTGTGTGTGTGTGTGTGTGTGTGTGTGTGTGGTTGTGTGTTTGTTGTTGTGTGTGTGTGGTGTTGTGTGTGTGTGGCTGTGTGTGTGTGTGGTGTGTTGTGTGTGTGTGTGTGTGTGTGTTTGTGTGTGTGTGTGTGTGTGTGTGTAGTGTGTGTGTGTTGTTGTATGTAGATGTGTGTATATGTGACTGTGTATATTGTGTGTATAGTGTGTGTGCCGCACAGCGCATAAAATGTTCAGCATTCACTTGAGATTCCCCTGATAATGTAGAGTCGAGTCATCGAACAGAGGGTTCTTGACTTCCATCTCTCCAGTCTGTTAAGGAGAGAAAATGAATTTTCAGTCATTAAACAAACATCGGAAAAGATTAGGTTTGTGCATGCATGGTGTGTGTGTGTGTGTTTGTGTGTGTGTCTACCCACCGGTGCAAGTCCAGGGCACTCGTATACTGTGAAGTCTCCTCCCACTTCTTCCTCATCTGATGTGACCTCGTTGTCAAGGACTTTCTGTTCAGGTTTATTACTGACAGGGGGGTAAAAAAAGACATTTGAGTTGAGGCGGAAAGGTGACTGGGTCCAAGGATGTGGTTGAAAATTTTAAGCCTGCATAAAGTCACGAAGGGTAAGAAAAGGGGAAGGGCAGTTGCAGAGAGACTGAAGAAAAACAGGGGAAGAGAAACGTACTTTCCCATTGACAGCATCTGTTGTTTTTGATGTTGATAGTGATACATTTGAGCGCTTTGGGCCAGAGTGTTATCTCCTGTCTGGGTGCGAAACAGAGGAAGTGACAATGATACACTGGAAGACAGAAGTCTCGATCTTGTGGTTACTGTAGAGGAAGAAGAGAGAAACTAAAGCAAATTTTAACTGTAGTAGGTTGGTGGAGGAGGAACTGTGGTCTTACCGTAGTGCCGGTGGCTGGGGAAGCAGACATGCCTGCCCCTCTGAAGGCAGGGTAGTCTACCTTCTTAGTCAGATGTGATTCTTTCTGCAACCTGTGGAGGGGCATCATAAATCTGAGTCTCCTGCAACACTGAGGGCTGTTTCCTGCTTCTGCCTTTAAAACATCCTTTAACTTAAACTCACAGATGATGATATATGAACAGCAAATGTAATTAGGCTTTAGGCTTAGGTACTTGGCAGGTAAAACAACAAATTTACAGTTGAATTAATTAAAGTTTGAGAGGTGACGGCTAACCTCTCCTTCCTTAAATTGTTGTGTAATTTGTCACTGCTCATAAGATTTGACTTGAACAATATGATACATTCTTAAATTTGAATATCATGATGTCAACTTACATTGGTTTTCAATTCACACCTAAATGTACTTTTGTGAGATGTTCAAGAGAACAAAACATAGTGGGAAATAATTTTTGATATTTAATTTTGTTGATTTGTCAACAAAAACTTAATTAATTTATTTGCGTTAATTAATTGACTGGTTTATTACACAATTCACACAATCACTGACACAAACCAAGAATGGTCCTGTGTAAAATTGACAAAATCTAGCTTCCTCTTGCTTTACTTGTGACTTTATGTATTCAGACTTACTTGATGAAACAGGCAGTTGCCAGGATCACTGCCACAGCACCCACCGCGACGCACAGCGAGATTATGACTGCACAAAGATACAAAAGACAGAGGAAAAGAAAGGGGAACAGGGAATGTTAAAGGAGTAAATAATGAGTGATAACCCTACTGAGAAATCTATAATGGCTGCTGAATATAATTATATTTTAATTCATTTTCTCATGATGGATAATTATTGCCATCGCGAGTAAAATGATAAGAAACATAAAAGCAGTAAACACACTGGGATGTCAAGGATTAACGGCTCTGTTCGGGACAATTAGAAAACATAAGCGGTGAAATCTTTCTGGTGAAAACATCCAGGCAGAAGACACCCAAATTTTTTAACAACATGTAATTTGATTGAATTTGTATCCATCATCTATTTATATCAGTATCTTGTACCAGCATTTCTGGGTGCAGTAAAGCCTTCTAGGCGCCTACATTTTGCCTTGTCACTGTGTTGAGGGCATGAAGTCATACTCACTGACAATAATTCTGTCATTCCTGGGAGCTGGAACCACTATAGGACCAGCTCTGCCCTCAACTCCAGTTGCTCTGGGCTGTGGAGTCGGTGTGTTAGGGGGGGCAGACACCGTAGGGCCGGGGGCTGTAGTGAAGGCATGCAGGCTTTCAGATGAGGGTGGAGCCTTGCTTTTCTGTTTGTGTTTGGAGGCATTTATCTTGCTTTTTTTAACATCTGTCTGGGAGGTTACGGCAACTGAGAGAGTGAGAAAGATAGATAGATAGATAGATAGATAGATAGATAGATAGATAGATAGGTAGATAGATACTTTATTTATCCCCTAGGGGAAATTCATGACATAAAGAAAGAAAGAGTCATAATTAAAGGCTAGCATAAAGGCAAAAAAAAAAAAACAAACACAATATCTGACGGAGATAATCATCAAATTATCAGAATATGTAGGCAGAGTATTTCTATACAACAAAGGCAGTTGTATGGCTTGAAGTAAAACACACAACTCTTAACTCAAAACAGGAAGTGATATGTTTCTTTCTTATATAGATATAGATTGTTGAGTTCTTACCAGGCCTTTTTGGCTGTGTGATCTCTAACACTTCCTGTTTTTCGATGACAGACTGAAGATAATCAATTTCTTCGTCCAGTTCAGGGTAGTGTGCCCCTTTAAAAGACAAACAAGATTCAAGGATTAGCTTCTACACAAATTAAACTGGCTTTAATAGTCTGTGCTGTGTATGAGAGCTAAGAATAAAGAAAAATGCAGCAGGAAATCAGGCATGCATAAAATGCTGCAGCTCTGCCCAGTGACACTAAAGGCTTCTTACAATACACAAAGAACCTTCATTCATACACATAACATACATATCACTGACAGCAACTTCATATACATCACAAACAGAGTTACCAAGGCAAAACAGCTACTGACATTTCTCTATTAACAGATATTTCGCTAATTAATCTGACTTTCAAAGGAAGGAAGTGAAACTAATCCTTCTTTTCATGATCGTATTCTATTTGTTAATCTTCCAATTATTGTTTCAATGAATCGTTTTTTCTTAGAAATATCAGATAACATTGAAAAACGTCCAGTATTATTCATTTTAAGATCACCCTGGACAAAGAAAAGCAGAAAATCCTCACAACAGTGAAACAGGAGCAAGATAATTTGGGGTTTTTTGGTTTAAAAAATGACTTAAACGATTAAAATATTAAAAATAGATTGCAGATTAATTTGCTGCCAGTTCTATATCTGGAAAATCTAATTAGTTTCATGACTGTAGGTGACACGTAACTCTTGTTGTGTGTTGTGTGTAGGGGAGGGAGAGACAGATAGCACATGCGCATGGTTTAGTCATGTACACCGGCCTGTTCCCAATCTTTACATGTGTTTTTCAGGGCCTTGCCTCTGAAGTGATGAATAGGGAGTGTGCCCATGTGTCTTGTTTGTTTGTGGACTGGTAAAAGAAAAAAGGGACAATACTAAACTGTTGTTAACAGCCCTTAAGGCCAGACAGTGAGCCACATTCTTGCTGTACTGTCGCGGTCTCCAGGGAGACCAGGGCCGATAGTGTGTGTGTGTGGCCCGGGGGGGGGGCACCGCAGGGGGCAGGTGCAATCAGCCAGACCTTTGCCTCTCTGGGCTTGAGTTGCTATGTTCACAATAGATCCCATAGCTCGCTGCTAATGGAGGTGATCAAAGTGTTGTTTCCCTCTATAAAGTTACCCTGCAATATATCAAATATCAAAATACAAGTATTCGCTCTTACAACTGGTGAGTCATGAGAAAAGCAGTAGAAAAACTGCAAAGAAAAAGTTCTTGATCGTGCCTTATACCATCATACCATTTGTTCAGCATTGTGGGCCAATATGTACAGCTGATTTGTGTGACATTGATGTCATATGTGCCAATGTGAAAAAAAAGAAAAAAGGCAGATGCCAGTAAATCTATCTAAACAAATGTGTTATTACAAATTATTATCACCATCAGCATCACTTTTACTGATTACACTGTCACTTTCACTCCAGAAGGCTGACCATCTGGCTGAGCTAATGTGTATGATATGACATGCCAGCACTTTCACTGCCTGCTTTGTTATTTTCTTACCCCCCTCCACTAATGGCCATTTAGTGCACTCCATAGCAGGTGTCTGTGGAGGCGGGATGCACCATCTGTACTTTGCAGGTGGCTGAGAGCTCCAACCGTGCCCGAGTGCTTGGCAGGAGTTTGTAGTTACTCAACAAAATGAGAGATTTATTGGTGGTATTTTTTAAATGTGGATTGTTTTAAAATCTGCAGGGAAATGGATGAAAATGGATGAGAGGAGAATTTATTTATTTATAGCGAAAGCGCGGCAAGGCCAAAGTTGACGATTCACCTAAAAAAAAGTGTCAATTGTGTGTATGTGTGTAGTTTGTCACGCACTGACTAACCACGAACACCTCTCCTTGTGTAAGAGAGTTTTGTCACTGGCTTGATAATGACCCATAACCTCTTGAGAGGCACCCAGGGGGCAGTTGGGTACAACAAACAAACACTAAACAGCTCAACAGGGATTGTGGGTCACACACATCTGTTGCTGCTCCCTTTTCTCACTCAAAAACCATTCACATTTCTTCCTCCCCGAAACCACATGCAGGAGCACACACACTACTTCCCTGCCCCTCCTTTCTCCTTGTTAAAAAACTCGAACGACAAACAACAAAAAGAAAACCTCACCCCGGAAGAATCTAAATGCTTTTAGATGAAACTCTGTGTCTGTTTGAATTCAATTTTGTTGAAACAGGCAGTATTACTTGACCAAAACAAAATGAAGAAAAGGAGATCATTGTCTTGTATTTTGTCTGGCATTAGATCAGATAGGAGTGACTGTGCAATCTGTTGATTATTATTTTGAGTTAATTTAATTTGGTTAGTGGATGTATTGTCAAGTGTCCACCACAAGTTAACGGAGCCCAAACTAATAACTAGTATTTTGATGGCCTCAGCCAACAGCCAAAAGTTATAAAATAATAAAATAATACATTTTTAAATTGGGAATACAATAAAATCTAGCATTTGAGAAGCGTTAAGATGAACTCGATAAACTACTTAAATGATCCATCAGTCAGAAATCTGTTGTTTGACTGATGATCTGTCAATCAACTGCTCATGCTAAAACAAAATTTTTCCTTGTTTCCAAACTACTAAACCTTGTTAAATTGTCCCTCTTTGAGTTTTTAATGCCTTCCCCTCACTTTCACCCTGTCCTCAGCCCTAGTCATAGATTAATGATTTATACTGGTGTGTCCTGCTGCCCTCTAGTGGGTAATGTAATATATGGCATATGTAGAAGACAACAGAGAGACTACAGGTCTGTCTAACTGGTACTTCACTTGCAGATCCTCTGAAACCACATCTCTTAGGCGACTTGACAGATAACAAAATGCACAAAGGGGCCTGCTAGTTTCAGATCTGATACATGTGCTATTCCAGTGTTTGGGGGGGGAAAGGTCGACCAGGTGGTTAAGTTAAAAGGGAAGAAACCAGAAAGGTCACAGTTTAAACACAGACTCGTATGTACTTTATTAGTTAGTCTGTCTTCATATAAGGGAGTGTCATGCAGTTAAAATGTTATTTTGCCCATGACATCTAAAGTTGAAAACGTAGCGTAGCTCATAATTTTGCCAGCGAGTCGCCCTCCCACCTGCTATAAAAAGTTAGTCACAACTGAATGCACAGCTTTAAGTCAATACAGGAAATCTGACCAGCAATGTTCTAACCTTCAATAAACAGTCCCACCTGTCTTTACCAATGGAAAAAAAAAAAAGTCTGCAATAAAATACTGTAAATGTTTTACTCTTTTTTTTCCAGGCTGTTAAACATTGGGTCAGTTGCCAGTGTCGAGTACTACATAACACATTGTATCTTAATTTCTAGAATATGATAAAAAAAATCAGGTGACAATGATTAAAATAAACAAATATATGTATATATATTTATGATGAAAATAAGTATAGCTAAGCATGGCAATAGTTTTATTTGAGTATATAAAGGATAATAAATATTCCATTTAATATTGCAAAAATATATTATTCAAGATTACTTTACAGTTTTACACTTGTAAACAGTCACACATTGTAACTGTAAACGGTCGACAGTAAATGTTACACTGAAACCGTTTGACTGATTAGTTTTATGAAGTGGAATAAAGGAAGTTGTATAAGTGCTGGGATTAATATCAACAGCCATAAATCTGTATATGTAATTTACACAAAACACCACTGAGAAATGATACGATTCATTTCCACTGGTTAAATGCAGTTTGACTGGTTAGCAATTTATTCTATAACTGAAAGCCTGTAAAACAACGTTTATGTTTCCTTGTTAGTGAAGGAACCAACTTCTTGTTTGGCTCTCCATCAGTTTAATGATCTAATCTCATGCCAGCAAAGTAAACTGCCACAGGATATTTGTTCTTGTTGCATGTCCCTGTAACAAACAGCTGTCAGAGTGTCTTGGCCTTTTTGTTGTTGTTTCCACTTTGTTGACTACTCTGTTGTGTATTACATAATGTAAAAAAATAATATAAACAAAAGAGGGTAAATAAGCAGTGCATGAGAGAGAAAGAGCTCCAGGAGGACAGAAAGAGACAGTCCAGATAAAACACCGGGCGACAACTCTGCTTTTAGCACAAACACAACTTCACCGCATACGCAGTAAAGGATACATACTGTGTTTGTGCCTCTTCTGAACAAAGGAAATGGCTTCAAGGCATGGTATGTTTACCAATGGCAGTACACGCCTCTATGTCAAATACAAGCAGGTCCTACTTACAATAAAATGTGCTGCCTGTCTCGCTTGTTCACCTGCTGTGCACTCTCATCCTTGCTATTATTATTATTATTATTATTATATATTATTATTGTAATTATTCTACAGATCAGTTAAAAAAAGTGCTGCAGATCAAGTGAGTCAGCTTGATGATGCTGAGATGTGCTTTTGTAAGATTGAAGTTAGAAACTGGATCGGAAGAACAACTGGGTAAAAGGGCCCTGGGCTTACTGACAAAACAAAGGTTTAGTAAGATGAGTGTATGTGTGTGTGAGTAGGTGAAACACAGAGGGGGAGAGAGAAAGACAGAATTAACTGACATTTATTTGGTATGCAGGTGCATCATTGGACAGAAATTCAGTTTTCAAAATGTGTATTTTTCATGCTTTTAAAAGCCATACTAACATTTTAGATAGTCGGATGTTTAGTCCTGGAAACACAGCATGATATTTCCTCTGAAGTGTAATTTGCAGTTAGTAATGTTGCCAAACTACTGAGTCAGCAGCCGGACTGCAGCTCTCCGTTGTGTTTGATGTGTGCTGCCCGTGACAAACCAAACAAACCAAGCACGGTACATTTATGGGACTGAAAGTGGAGTAATTTAATCATTCCATTTTAGCATTTTGTGTGTATATGCATGAGTGCTTGTCAGTGTCAGTCCCCCATGCGGATCACCGTGTTCTGTGATCTCTCTGGGGTTTATGTAACCACTTTAGGGAGCTTAGCCGAGGCCTACGATCTGCTGGATTCACAGCAACACACACACACACACACACACACACACACACACACACACACACACACACACACACACACACACCAGCATCGCATATGTTGTATGTCTTCATATTGAAAAATGCACAGAGACACAGATACAAATGCAATCCCAAGTCAAATACTAATAACTGACCAGGCTTTTATCATAATATGACTGTATCAAAAAAAAAAAATCCTCTCATTTTGTGCATGATGTGACCTTTCTCTCCGATACATCCTCACACACATCTCCTTCTCATGTTTACTTCGCTCTCTGCTGCTGTCGCCAATAATTTGAGCCAAGTTTGTACTGTACCCTCTCCTGCCGCAGACCCATCTGAATTATTAATCCTGCAGAGAACACGCACCTGCCCACCAACAGACATAAATACACACCCCACACACACACACACACACACACACACACATTTGTGCGGAGGCAAGCCAGTACACTCAAATGTACACAAGATGTTTCAATCTCTCTCTCTCTTTCTCTCTCTCTCTCTCTCTCTCTAATTGCTGGAGCGCCTTCTTGAAACACGGTGTGCGTGCCAGCAGTGTGATGCCACGCCGTGGAAATCAGACAAATATGATCTATTTTCACAGCTTGGCTCTTTCACTGAGTGGCATGTGACTCGGTGATGGAGATGAAGGGCGAAAGAGAGAGAGAGAGATACATGTCATCTAAGTGATTAAAGCCGGCAGTGTGCAGGGGTGGTGTGTGTATGTGTGTGTGTGTGTGTGTAGACACAGCAGGAGCAGGGGCAGATTAAAAAACACAGAGGATCAGACTGCACCATGATGGGAGACAAGGAGGCAGAGCAAAGGACCACAACAAGGTCGTAGAGAGAAGAGAAGTGAAAAAAAAAAAAAAAAGAACGAGAGACATGGGATCCTGAAAGAGGGAGAGGGAATAAAGACATGAAGCTAAGGCTGATAGAGGAGGAGAGGGAGAGAACAGAATCAATAGGCAATCGAGAGAAAAGGGTGGAGAGGAGAAGAGATGTGGGCAACAGGATACAGACGTCAAATAAGAGAAAAGAGGCTGTGTCAAAGAACGAATGTGGGGTGAAGACGTAAGGATAGGAACAGGGAAAGAATGACAGTGAGTCAGTCAGTCAGTGCTTTTACGTGCACACTAATAACTCAATTACAACTGGAGAGACGCAGTCGTTTCAGCTGTCATTTAACTGGAGCTGAGGCTGCAACCAGAATGAGCATAACCACGTTATTCATTAGTCTTCAATTTGCTCTCGACAAGCTTAATCTTTTCATTCAGCAAACACACTCGTCATGAAGTCTACCAGTGTGTGTTTGCAATAAATATTTTCTTTATTAAATGTTTTGTGAAGTGAAAAATGCCCATTAGAATTTCCTTTAGCACAAAGAGGCACCTTCAATCTTCAGTCTTTGTTTTGTGTGATTACCTGTCCAAAACCCTAAGATATTCAATTTAGGCAGAAATAAATCCGAGAAGCTGGAACCACAGAATATTTTACATTTTTGCTCAAGAACTAACTTGAACATGAACTTAAACAATTAATAGATTATCCAAATAATTACTTTTTAAACTATAACTAACTGATTAATAAACTCATCATTTCATCTCCGGTTCCATTAGAAGTAATGCGTGTATTAAGGTGTGTTCGATCTCTCCCTGACAGTCTGATGTATTGTATTTTATAAACATATATGTATATGAATGTTGTCAGTAATCAAGACCAAACTAAATCAAAGATGCTCAAAATTCACTGATGTGAAAGAAAAAAGAAAGAAGTCAACATATTCTCATTCCTCTTCTATTTCTTTGTGAAGCCTGCAGGGTGCTGGACGTCCTTCCATTAATCTCATGTAAAATTACCTGAGCTTAACATGTCGAGTTGTTTGTGAGTATATAAAGTTCATACAATGAATGATTTACCGAGCGTATCAGCTCAACTCCATGTGCTCAAATGAAACAGCGGGAGCTTGTATGTACAGTGAATGCAGAGTCATACAGTATGAGTGTGTTTGTGTGTGAAGTGAAGATCTTTTTCTTCATACCATGCTGATGGTGCCTCCTCCTCTCCACACAGCGTCCCTCCTCGTTCTCGTGCAGCGGCGAGATGCAGGGGCCACAGTGGGAGGAGCCAGGCATGCAGAAGTGGCGTCCCTCTTTGGCACAGTCTATATGGTGGGGGCATTTACTGCCAGCTGGGGGTGGGTTGGCGAGAGAGAGTGACATCAACAGTTGTATTAGTATCCCAGCCACAATGCTGCCAAACAGAAACTGTGCTAATACCTTTTCTTGTAAAGCATTTTCAGATGCATCATATGTTATGAAAGGAGCTATATAAATAAAGTTTATCATCCTTACCATTATTTTGAGACAGTTAAATGACAATCTTTGTGAGGAATGAAGTACTATAAAAATGTTCAGAGTAAGAGATGCTTCAGTGTCATGATCGTCACTCCTTTCATTAGTGGATGTGTCAGCTCTTCAGCTCCATTCAGAAAGAAAACGTCTGCACAGTTACATCAGAGTTTTTGAAGATATTTAGCTTTTGCTGTGACCTTATCAAGCCTTCCACATAGGCAAGTTTTGTCAGATATGACAAGAGTGTTTAGACAGTAAGAAAAGTACATTTTGAATAATGTTCTGCATTTTGCAATGTGGTGAGCCCCACCTGCTTGGCAATACAGGTCAGGTTAAACCAAAGTAAAGAGTGAGCGACAGCTGCTCACAGATCTGCCTGCAATCAGGTGAGATAATCCCTTGACCTGATTGCTGCCAGTTTAGCACAAAAATGGAGGCCAGACACTCTATCAAGAAATATACACACGCCCACACCAACACACAACGTGAGATACACCACAAAGAAAGAAGTGGGTCACAGCAGGTCTGTTTGGTAGCAGAGGGCAGGTAGAGCACGGCAGACGCCACCAGAGCGGATAAGGAGCGCAGGGGTGCAGCACAGCGGGTCAGCTAAAGGAGAACAGCACGGTGGGTGATGATAGACAGGAGGTGGGAAGAGAGTGGATGAACCCAGTATTTGTGAGGGATAATAGGTCACCATTGTGAGCATTGTTGGAGTCTACAGGTGACAGATCAGTGTTGTAAAGACAGAGATTTAATGTCTTAGATTGATCTACAGAATTGGTCATTGCGTTAAAAACAATTCAGCGTTAGATTCTACAAAATTAAATTTAGACAAAAAAAAAACCCTTATTTTCTTTGTGTTTTGCAACAGACTGCAGTCATTACTCCAGCCATTTTTTTCAATGGCTGCATAAGAGGGGAGAAGTACACATGACAGTAGAACGCTATAGGAGAAATCTCCATGACCTCCTCTAATATCAGGAAAGATGTGAGTTATCGAAGGAGAGGAAGTGTTGGTGAGATGAAATGCAGCTAGAGGCACTTGCTTTTCGTGTCTGTGCACACATACATATGCATGTTATTATCCATCCATCGATACATTTTTATCCCCACTTTTGTGATTTAAAATTTGTAATTAACTAAAATATATAATTTGCTCATAACTCAACATACTTGATGTATGGAGTTGTATGGAGTCCACATATGTTACTGCTGCTTTGTCTAACTTGTTATTGGCTAATTTGACTAAATCCCTTTGTCTCTCCCACACGCAGGTTTTGTTTTTGGGTTAGTTTCTGATGTATCTTTAGATTTTTGTTGTTTAAGGTCATATGTATCTTTATATAACAGCCCCATTTTCAATTAAACTTTCATTTTTTTTATTACACAATCCTTGTTGCAATAAAGGTAAAAACACCTGTTCTAAACTTTTGTCAAACCTTCCCTACCAGAAATACTAAAACCACAGTTAAAGTAAAAAAACAAATGTATCAACAACAAAAAACGTTAAGGAAATCTCAAACGTTTAACATCAAAAGTCTGCAGACACCACCGATGGCAAAACAAATACTAGGACACACACACACACACACACACACACACACACACACACACCCATGCAAACACACAAACAGTTCAACAAATCTACACATCACAATTACACCACAGGGAGATGGACACACACATCGACATCTTCTTATGTCACTGACTGGTCTGATGCCTCAGGGAGTGACGCATGTGTAATCTGAGACGCTTTGTTTTTCTGTCTGTTTGAGTCAAAGAAGGGGGCGGGGCTAGAGATGGGAAATCATGAGTTTTTCTAATTTCTGTGAAACATCTGTGGCTGTGAGCAAATAGTGTATTCACTGTTGTGTCTGTGGGTAGAAAAGCAAATGTTTTACTTGGTGCCACAAAACTAACATGAAGGTGGACAACTCCCTGAGCGCCTTTGATCGCAGCTCCTTCTTTATTGTCACGCTCCACCTCTGCTCCCACGGTCTACTACCAACTCTGTCACCTGTAAGTTTAATCGCTGCACCACCTGTTCGGCCCTGTTGCCAAGTTAATCAACATCCCTGTGACTTTAACGTTCTCAATTATTATTTCTCGGTTTCCTCCTTCAGCTGTAGTGGCTTCTATTTTTACCTGCCACGTGCGTTGCCTCTCATTTCCCCTCCAGATCTCAAACCTTTGTCTGATCTTTTCACATGTTCTTATTGATTTCCTGTAACATCAGAGAGGAAAAAAAAAACTAGCTAGAAATAGCTTGTTCTGTCCTTGTGGTATTTTAATATGGGTGTGTGCAGTTTGTGTCACTGGTATTAATTCTCTAGCACATGTCTGTGGGCATGTGCAATGCGAGACTTCATGCACAAAAACACCGATTCACTCACATTCACTATATGTTTTAATTTTTTTTTTGTATTCATTTTTTGTAAATGTCAGCTGTTGTAGTGTCCCTCCTTCTGTAAATCATCTCAGTGAGGGGCAGAGCAAGAGCCTATAATCCAGGCCAGTTCTAATAACACCAAGCCAAGGCTCAAGACACAGGATCCTGCCGGTATCACCTGAATCATGAGACCTGATGTCAAATCGTTCCATTGTCCATTTTTCATGACTCTTTGATTCTGTAACTGTCTCAGGAGCAAGGGCTGTTTAAGCGAAGGTCAGCTCCAGATGACCGCACTCATGTCACAGATAGAGCCACCCATTCATGTCTCAAATGATGTCTCATGTCTTCATGTCCATGACCTTACCTCATTCTGAGGGTAAGCCACAATGAAAATGTAAAAACACATGCACATCTATTTTGTGTTGATGCTGAGTCCAAAATTTTGACCCTAACCGACCTATTTCAAACTGCTGGACGTGATAGATACAAGAGTGAACATTCACGTTGCTTTCCACCGCTGGAGACAGTTCTTGGTGCATAAAGGAATGAAGTTTGATAGTTGAAGTAGCAATGTTTCTAAACAGCTGTTAATGCTAACGTTGGCAACATAGCAATAGCAAAACTTAAAAAATAGCTCCTTTAATGTTTCATACTTATATTCATTACAGGAAAGAGTTTCAAGACCAAACTAGCTCCTTGTCAGGGTCAATCTTTTAAAAGAAGTTTTTTGTATGGAAACAGGGATTAGTCATGTATTTATTCGCTGACTCACAAGGTGTTTTCGGTTTCACTGAAATTTATGGACAAATGAGATGAACAAAAGCTTCTCAGACTTTAAAAAAAAATAAAAAATACACACACACAACAGTACATGCACGTGTGCTATCGTTTAAATGTCAGCCATCCAGTGATCATCAGCACCATCATGCAATTGTATTAAAAATGCACTGCAAGAGAGTCTCTTTGCATTGCTGAATCACTCACTGTATTCGTCCTGACCCCTAAATATCATCGTGCACAAACAAAGACATACAATTTAACAATTGCTTTTCCTTCCACATTAAGGAGTCGCTGTTGTCTAAGACAAAACGAGACATTTAATCCCTGTTATGAAAGGGAAATATCAGGGTGTGTTCTATTTTCTAAAATATCTGCAATGCACTCTTGATTCTAACAATGCAGCTCGAATCTCAACACCTCTGGTCAGCACTTCATCTGTTATTCATCACGTGGGAAGTTAATGTGCTGGAACCTATTGCAGTCACATGAATGAAGATAATTATTCTCCTCACACACTAGCAGCCACACATACACAAACACAAATCCAGAGTATGTGTGCTTCATTATAAAAGTGTGGAGCAGTGAGAGAAAGATGGTATGAAAAAAAAAAAACAGGTGTGACAATCAGGGACGAGCTACAGTCAAATAAAAGCTGCATTCATTACCGTTCACCAGCTGTTGTTGCGAAAATCTTTTTTTTGCACTGCAATAACTTTATAAAATAAAATAATTTTAACAAACTTACATAATAGCACTTTTTCTAAACACGGCTGAACCAATGAAAGATACTCATCATGATGATCATACGACAAAGCAGCTCAATTCTATTTAGCAGCATAACAAAGGAGCCAGAGAAGTGAATGCGAAGTCGCCATAGGACGTGGCCTTGCATCAACATGCCTCCCACACAGTGCTGTCGCTAATTAGACAGCTCAATCAAGGAGACAGAGGAAGAGACATAGAAAACAAGAGACAGACAGGGAGATGGAGAAAGAAGAAGACAGACACGCTACTGCAGTATATCAGTGAAGGCAGTAGAGGTGTGAAAAATTATAATGCAACTCAGGGATTCAGAAAGTACTCCTTGGAACGAGTGAAAAATGACTTTCCTCACCATCTGCTGCTGCTGTTACCAGGCTGTGTGCTCAGCAGCAGCTCTGCCAGGGAGAACAGAGAGGCAAACACAGGCATTCTCACACAGCCTGGTAAACACCCACACTCACAGGCGCACAGGCACACACACACACACTTATGCATTCGCAAGCAAGTGCACAGTTTTATGTCACCGTTAACCTGTGCTGCTTCAAGACGCTCTACAGATATAATGCAACAAATGTCACCCACTCCGTAATTGTGTGTGTGTGCGTGCGTGTGTGTGTGTGTATGTGAGAGAGAGGTTTAGAGGGGAGGAAGGAAATGGGTAGGCCAAGAGGGTCATACACTCCCATTGTGTGTGTTTCCTGACCCTCTGATAGGAGCCAGGAAGTAAGCCAAACACTCCAAATCAAGTGGAAACATTAAAGAGCTCTGCTGAGCGCTCTTCACTTGATACGCAACCAGTGTTCATTTCCACATGGATAAAGAGTGTGTATGTGGTCCCCTGTGAGTGTACATTTGTGTGACTTTTTGTGTAGCCATGCTGCTATGTTCCTGTTTATCCAC